CAGCAGGCAAAGAGGAGTGCAGACAGCTGCCTTGCCCCAAGCCTCCTTCCCAACCATAAAAGGCTCCCAAATGGCCCTGCGCCAATATTGGGGAATACCCCCACCCCACTCCTTGCCAAAGAGTCCAAGCCAGGTATTGACCAGAGTCCTGGACCCATGCCTGGGCCCCCTAAGCGGAGCTGGGAGCTGAATCAGATGCAGATCCCAGAGGTGATGGAAGGAGGGAAGCACACAGTGGAGGGACAGTATGTTTCCTTGAGATGGGAGGGGCAAGGGGAAGGAGAAAGCCTTAAATCTGAGCTTCTGGGAGGGGTCTGTAAGCTAAGACCTGCTCTTCTGCAAAGCAAGAGAGTTACAACCATAAGGATGTAAAGCAGGACTTGGACTCAGGTCAGATACCACCAAGAACTCCCTAATGGTGGGTGGTGAAGGTGCCGAGGCCCTGGCCCACAGCAAGACAGGCTCTGTAATCTTGTCACCAGCAGGGCTGAGTGAAAGAAGGGACAGAACAGCGTGTTCTCTCGCCCCTCCTGGCATGCCCACCCCTCCCGCTGCCAGTCTAAATCCCAGCCTCCTTCAGGGCCCTCATGTCTCTCCATCCAGCATCCCACAACACTGACCAACTGCTCGACTCTCCTAGGGACAGGGTTGATCTGCCCTGCACTTTCTTCAACCTAAGTCCTCTGGTGGAGGGTCATCACCCAGCGTAATCTCCTTGAGGGTTGAGTCTGTATCTTTTGCATCTGGAATGCCCCTTTCCCAGCCTCAATTCCTCCCACCCCCACTGCCCAGGGCCAACACATTGTTGGGCCCAGTGACCTGAACGAGTTGAACAGGCCATGGCCATGGGCATGGACACCAGTCTAGCCCTACCCTGAACCTGAAAGCAACTGGGCTTAAACCCAAAGGAAGTAGCCTGACACCAAGTGAGGACTTTCATAAAAATAGAAAACAGGGCAGCCTCAGCCACTGCCACCTCCCAAGCAGTGGTCTCAGCTGGACCCTCTTTAGAGCTTTGGGTTCAACGGAAGGAACAAGGGAGGGAGGAAAGCACTTAAAAGCATCTCTCTTAAGGGAGCAGGGGGGTTGCTCTAGAGAGGAAATGACCTCAGAGGTTCCTGATGGTTTTTAAACCCTTTGAGCAGGGAAATTCTTTTTTTCTGAGACTCGCGGATAATTTGCTTTCCCCATAGGACCCTGTTCAGGGAAATGCCATGAAAGGATGGCATTTAGAGGATGTCTAAAGACAAATTTCAGGGACTTCATGAATTGGCCGGCCTGCTGTGTGCCTTGGGAATTTGGCCTCTGCCCTGAGGCCAAGGCCATTTAAAATGCTTCCACCAGAGCTAGGGACACAAGAACAAACTGCACAGTGGTTGAAAGTTGAGCTCTAGGCTGGGAGGGGGAGGGGACCTGGGCCTACAGGGAAGGGTCACTGCTCACCCCACCCGGCCCTGGGGTCCACAGGCTCCCTACCAGGTCTCACAGCCAGCGTGGCAGCGCAGCTGGCCTGGCCCAGCTCATTGGTAGCGATGGCCGTGTAGTTCCCAGCATCAGCCGACCGGGCCTCCCGAAGCAGCAGGGTGTGCCGCTCGCCCTCCGCCCGGATGAGAAGGTGGCCATCACTGCGCAGCGTGGACCCATCCTTCTGCCAAGACACTGTGGGGAAGCAGCAGGGTGCCCAGTCACCATGGCCCACAGGGACCCACTGGGACAAATCTCCCCCCAGCCCCCACCCAACACAGAGCCCAAGCCTCTCTTTTCCCCACCCTAGGGAATTTGGAGGACTCCCCTCACTCACAGAAGCCCAGGCCTGCCCTCCCCTTTCTCAGGGGATTCTGGGGAAGCTCTAACACATGCAGGAGTCAGGACAGCCCAGCCCAGGAGCAGATGAGCTTTCCTCTTCACCCACCCCTCCCTGTCTCAACCTTAGCCAGGCCCCAACTCTGGAGCTCACCTTGGGGCGAGGGGTTGGCGGTGATGATACACTTGAGCAGCACATCCGCCCCTGGGGCCACCACCGCGTCCTGCAAGGGGATCTCAAACACAGGGGCCTCCAGGGGCTCTTCTCCAGCAGACACATAAGAGTCATCCGAAGACTCTGCCAGAGACACAGGTGACAGGGTAAAGGGATATGGTCCTATGGAGATGACTCGGGGATAGAGGCTGTGATGGCCGCCCTGCATCTTAGAAATCCAAACCCAGAGAGAGGGGCTTCTAGAAGGTGGGGGTTGGGGAGCAAAAAACCTCTCTCCTGAATGTCCTGAGACAGGGAAGAAAGATAGAAAGGGGGTTCTCAAGCAGGACAGGGCATCCAGGACTCTGCATTAGTTTGTCTGCCCTTCAACCTCAGCCACAGGGTTGTCTCTGGAGGAAGGCAGGAGCCCTGCCACATCTTTATACAAATCAGGGGTCAGGGATGGTAGATCATCCCTGTGCAAGGCACACTGAGGGGCACAAGATACCACAAGTTTCCATACAGACAGAAGACAAGGTAATAGCAACCTGACATGTAAGTAATAATAGTGATGTCACAGGGCAACATGGGATGTACTGTCATATTAGTGATGCCGCCCTATAGCCGTCTGAGAGGCCCCATGAAAATCGGCTTTGATTTTGTCCATCCATCAAACAGTAACACTGCATACTAAGCTCTGCTTGGCATCAGGGCGATAAGAGGAAATAAGATGTGGTCCCTGCTTACGGGACGCTTGTACACACAGAGATCTCTGGGTATTTCTAACCCCATGCCGTCTATAAGCTAGATAAAGCACAGTGCCAAAAGAGCAGTGATGATCCCAATTATGCTGTCTTCTAGCAACATAAACTGGCAAATTAGATAACCTCTCTGTGCCTCAGTCTTGTTATCTGTATGATGGAGCTGATAAATAATACCCAATATCTCGCAAAGCTGGCATACAGATTAAGTTAAAATAACACCCCCTAGGCACCCAGTTAACAATGCCTGGGACATGGATGTGCATATGCAATAATGATGGCTAGTAGAACAAGGGATAGGGGCCTAATCATCTCTAGAAATTTTGGGGTGGTAATACTTGAATGAAAAATAAAGTGATTCTGCTGAAGAAAAATACAGGGTGGTAAGTGCAATGAAAAAGACATACAGGGTCTCCTGGGAGCGGTGTGTAGGGGCCTCTGGCCTGGGGAAGCAGCAGCGGGTGGGAGCGAGGGAAGGATGGCTTCCCCTGCTTCAACCCAGGAGTGGGCCCCAAGCTGGTGTTCAGGAAGAGCAGAGTTAGGGGCAAGGGCAGTCTGGCTATTGGCCATCACCCACAGGAAGATTGGGAGACCACAGTCAGCTCAGCGATGCAGGGACTCAAGATTGGGAACAAAGAGGCTGGAAGGAGAGGCTGGGTTAGGCCTTAGTGGCCACAGATGGCCCGGGGATGGTGCCAGGATGGGGAGGGCAGAGATGAGAGCTGGCTGATCCAGAGCTTTCCTGTAACTGGGACTGAACCGATTACACTGGTATATTGAGACAGGCTTCCATCTCGTCCCCCATGGAGGGGTGGTGTGGGGAGGAGCTCCTTAGATTTCCACCAGTGCCTTCCATCAGTTAGGTCCTTAACCCAACAGACTAGCAGGCCCCTAGACCCAGAGGGCCTATGGCAGACATCTGGGCACTGGGTTTCTGCTCACACCTCAGCCTCGCCTCCATAAAAACACAAACACTCTAAAAAACACAACACACACACACACACACACACACACACACGCACTACCTCACCAGCAGGCAGGTTTTAGCACATCAACCTTTAAAACTTTCGCTCAGACTTGTGCTTGAGTCCATTCCTGCCCCGGGAGACCATACCCTAGCAGCCTCCTCTCCCCAAACGCCCTCCCACCCAAGTCCCAGCACCTTCTCAGTGGTGCTTCCGGAGGCCTTACCAAGCTCAGGCGAAGTGGGCCGGGCTCTGCGACCTCTGCCCTGGCTGCGAGTCCCTCTGCGGTCCCAGGCCCCCCAGGG